TATATATATATATATATATATATATATATATATATATATATATATATATATATATATATATATATATATATATATATATATATATATATATATATATATATATATATATATATATATATATATATATATATATATATATATATATATATATATATATATATATATATATATATATATATATATATATATATATATATATATATATATATATATATATATATATATATATATATATATATATATATATATATATATATATATATATATATATATATATATATATATATATATATATATATATATATATATATATATATATATATATATATATATATATATATATATATATATATATATATATATATATATATATATATATATATATATATATATATATATATATATATATATATATATATATATATATATATATATATATATATATATATATATATATATATATATATATATATATATATATATATATATATATAAATTGTTTTTTTTTAATATCCAAACAACCATCATCTATATACATATATCATTTTCACTATAAGATAAATGATGTGTCATAAGAGGAGCAATTATATTTGATCAAGAGTAAACACACAAGTGAAAGAGGAATCACATATTTATTCAAAATCTTAAAATATCAAGTATATGAGTTATCTCACTTATAAAGAATACAACCTCCACTTTTTTAAGCAATGTGGTACTTTCAACTCACACATGTATCATAACATTCTTTTCTTCAAGTGTGAGTCCATTCACTATGCTTCCCTTCAAGCAAAAACTCTTTCATCCACATACACTTTTGTTGTCGTAGACACTCTTATCACATCAGAGAAACTTCAACAAGACACAACGCCTGACCACTACCATGTCAAGACAACTTTTGATACAAGGAGTCGATCCCTTACTCGAACCATCGACTCTGATACCACTGATGGGCCATGAGGAAGAGAATCCACGTCGGGTTAAGAGCAACCCTACAAATGAGAGAGACATTGCATATTTACCCAAAACATTAAGACATTGAGTATATGTTGATCCTCTCATTTATAAAGTGTTTAACTTCCATTTTTCCAAGCACTGTGGGATTTTTAACTCACACTTTTGTATCATAATAATTGTTGGGGAGTCCGAAAAAGTCGAGAGCAACAACAAGATCAACTCTCCAGGACCACAAAAGAGGAAGACGTCAGATCTCCACCCAAAATCTTAAGGTATCAGATATCTAAATCTCCTATCTTTTAAATCTAACATACTACTAGTTCATATGCGATGTGAGACTTAATAACTCACACTTCAAACAATTTCTCCCATAAATATGATTTACCACATCCTATAATATGATCTAACACTGGATCCAACTCTCGCTCCCCCACCAAGCCGCACCTTAGCTTTGATATTACTTGTTAGAGAGATCGGGGAGCGTCGCGAGTGTGAATGAGTTAAGCGTTCAAGATTCAAGAGACCTTAACACCACATATTCACCCAAAATCTTAAGATAATGGGAGTATGAGTCCATTCTCTTATGAATCCAATATTTCCTCCATTTCTAGTGGATGTAAGACTTAACCACTCACACTTGAATCCAACAATCTTGCCCACAAGTGTGAGTCACCCACATCACTAACCTTGATTGATATTATAAGGATCCCAATTCCTCTCCCACACTGAGCCTAACCATGGCTCTGATATCACTTTTTAGGGGTCTGGGGAGCGCTAAGAGTGTCAATAGAATTAACTTTTAGGATCCAAAAGAGTTTGACACCACATATTCATCCAAAATCTTAATGCAATGGGTGTATGTGGTCCTTTATCTTATGTATCCAACATTTTCTCCATTTCTCATCAATGTGAGACTTAACGAATCAAACTTGAATCCAATAATATAGGGATGTATGTGGTGAGCTTTTGGCGATCATTCGAACCGAAAAAAGACAGTATCATTCGATTTGGTTCGGTTGACTTTTAGAAATAAAATTGACCAAACCAATACAATTTGGGTTTGGTCAGTTGGTTCGTTTTTTAAAAATATTTTTATTGAGCCATACATACACATACACATATAGAGGATAATATAATTTTGTGTTTAATCATGCATACAATATCATAAAATAATTTTTATTCAAGAGATTAGTCCTCCTTTTCTTTTTCTAATAGACTTGAAAATTGCAAGTTAAACTTGTAAAAAACTTGGTGTAAGGTTGTTGGACTGAACCGGTGTAAAATCTCAATCTGTTAATAGTAGAAATCTCAAGAGGAAACTTTTGAGAATTGTAGTGGGTGTGTGGTTTAAGGTTGTGAGATATTGGATTGAACTCTTGTATGATCAAAGTTTAGCTTCTTGGTTCGACAATTCAAAAGAATCTTAGCATGTCACAGAAGTCTGTTCACATGCTGTAGTCAAAGTATGCTAGGAGTGTTAGCATGTCAAATTGGACCTTGGTTGTAAGCTCAATTGTTTAAATTAGCTTGTTCCATAAGTTAGCTTGTGTAATGGACATGTGTGTAAAAGTCTATTAGGTTAGTATGTTAATTTTCTTATAAATGACACGCTAGTCTCTCATCTGTGTAGTGTGATGCAAATCCCAATTAGGGTGAGAGAGGTTAATTGTTGGTATTCACTTGTAATCTTTAAAAACTTATTGATAATATGAATAGAAAAACATATTTAACCAATTCTCCATTCTTCTTCCTTCTTCTCTCCCTTTTGAGAAAAAAAACTAATAAGGTTTCTTGTATTTGTTCAAGAAACTCAATCTTTATCTCATAACTTTGTTCTGTTATTGACGATATCATTTCACAACAAACTAGTGCAGTGAGCGTGGAGAAGATGTTGTCAACAAAGTATGAGTTTGAGAAATTCACCGGTGTGAATGATTTCGGTTTGTGGCGCTTGAAGATGCAAGCCTTTTTTGCTCAACAGGGTTTACTAGAAGTGATGAAAGGATCAGAGAAGATGGATGTTGCCCTATCGGAGAAGGAGAAGATATTGCCGAATAACAAGTTCTTCCACTATATGCAGTTGATAAAGCTACATGAAGAAAGCTAGTTTGCTCCCTTGATGTTCTAAAGTTTATTTCAAGGTGGAGATTTGTGAGATATTTGATCGAACTCTAGTATGACCGAAGGGTAGCTTCTTGGTTCGATAATTCGAAAGAATCTTAGCATGTCGGCGAAGTCTTTTCACATGTTGTAGTCAAAGTATGTTAGGAGTGTTAGCATGTTGAATTGGGTCTTGGTTGTAAGCTCAATTGTTTAAGTTAGACTGTTCCCTAAGTTAGCTTGTGTAATGAGCCTGTGTGTAAAAGCCCATTAGGTTAGTATGTTAGTTTTTTTTTTATAAATATCATACTAGTCTCTCATCTTTATGGTGTGGTGCAAATCCCAATTAGGGTGAGAGAGGTTAATTCTTGGCATTCACTTGTAATCTTTGAATCCTTATTGAGAAAGTGAATAGAAAAACATATTTAACCAATTCTTTATTCCTCTTCCTTCTTCTCTCCCTTTTGATAAAAAACCTAATAGGGTTTCTTGTGTTTGTTCAAGAAACACAATCTTCATCTCATAACTTTGTTCTGTTATTAACGACATCGTTTCACAACAAATTGGTGTGGTGAGTGTGGAGAAGAAGATGCCGTCAAAAAAGTATGAGATTAAGAAATTCACCAGTGTGAATAATTCTGGTTTGTGGCGCTTGAAGATGCAAACCCTGATTGTTCAACAGGGTTTGCTAGAAGCGTTGAAAGGACCGGAGAAGGTGGATGTTGTCCTATCGGAGAAGGAGAAGACATTGTCGAGTAGCAAGTTCTTCCACTGTATGCAGTTGATAAAGCTACATGAAGAAAGCTAGTTTGTTCCCTTGATGTTCTAGAGTTTTTTCCAAGGTGGAGATTTGTGAGATGTTGGATCGAAAACTAGTATGACCGAAGGGTAGCTTCTTGGTTCAACAATTCGAAAGAATCTTAGCATGTCGTCGAAGTCTATTCACATGCTGTAGTCGAAGTATGCGATGAGTGTTAGCATGTCGAATTGGGCCTTGGTTGTAAGCCAATTTTTTAAAGTTAGCTTGTTTCTTAAGTTACCTTGTGTAATGAGCCTGTGTGTAAAAACTTATTAGGTTAGTATGTTAGTTTCTTATAGCATGTTAGTCTCACATCTTTGTGGTGTAGTGCAAATTTCAATTAGGGTGAGAGAGGTTAATTATTGGTATTCACTTGTAATCTTTGAACCCTTATTGAGAAAGTGGATAGAAAATATGATTTAACTAATTCTCTATTCTTCTTCCTTCTTCTCTCCCTTTTGAAAAAAAATCTAATAGGACTTCTTGTGTTTGTTCAAGAAATTTAATCTTTATCTCATAATTTTGTTCTGTTATTAACGACATCGTTTCACAACAAAGGTTAAACCAAAATAAGTTGATGGTGTAATCTCTCTAAATTAAATCTCTTTTCTGTTTGTCTTTTATCTTTTCCATTACTTAATTTGTTCTTCTACCCTCTTCTTAAAATTTGTCGACCTAAAATCAATTGTTTTCTAAAAACTTTTTGAAAATCAAATATCACAATTCACCTCTCTTTTGTGATTGAAGTCACTTGTTCAACAAAACAACTCATCGCGATGCTTACTACCATCACACAAATGTCAAAAGATTTCATTCGATTTCATTCTTACGGATATATTATTCAAGATCCAATTCTGAAGCGTCTCAAAGATGTTATCAAAGACTTTATCAATCTCCTTTGAATCTCATATGACAGTCCCATCATCAAGATACCAAACATGAAGAAGAATCTTATAATTGTCAAAACAAAAGTAATTTCTCAATTCTAATTCTGTATTAACATAAACTATTATATCTATATGTTACACTGTTTAAATTACATTTATGCTATAAGCTATATTAAGTGTTACAAGGATGAGAACTAGTTCTGAAACCAAGTCAGTTTCAACTTAATTCTCAACTCAACAGGTTCAAAAGAAAAGTTTAACTAAAACAGCTCAAACTCTTCACAATCATCTATATCCTCATCATTTGCATTTTCCTTATGTGCAGCCATAGGTAAAGCACTAGTTCCGAAATCGTGGAAGTTTGGGAGCTCCGGTGGTGCAGCGCATCGTATTAGAGCCCAGTTGAGGCCATCAAAGAAAGGATGCTGTTTTATTTCCGCAGCGCCTTTTACAGAACCTAATCGGCTTTCTGGATCCTTATTCAACAATCCTCTGATCAAATCTCTTGCATGAAAACTGACTATAGGAGTACCTGGAAACTTAAGGTTCTGCGACACGACGTTGGATAATGTGTCGTCGTTTGATGGACCTTTGAAGGGAGTTTTTCCGTATAAAAGCTCGAACAAAAGTATACCAAAAGTCCACCAATCTACAGCGTTTCCATGGCCTTCGCTTTTGATGATCTCTGGAGCAAGATATTCGTACGTTCCAACGAAGGAGTTGGACCGTGCATTAGTAGGCTCGACAACAAGTTGCGGCAGTGGACGAGCACATGCGTTGTCAGCCTTCATCTTTCGAGATTTTGCCCCCGGAGACAAATGAATAGGAGTAAAGCAGGAAACTTGCCAATCCGGTTGGAGACAGAAAGGGTGTATGCAGCTAGTTCCCGAACACGAACCGGAGATCTTCTTTACCACATCTGCATCGGGTGAAGATGATTTGACTAACATTGGATTGACAGAACATCTGAGTGATAAGTCAAAATCTGTCAGCATTATGTGTCCATCTTCGCGTACAAGGATGTTTTCCGGCTTTAAATCTCGATATACAACTCCCAACATATGCAAATACTCAAGGGCTAGAAGAACTTCAGCAACATAAAACCTGCAAATGCAACGACATTACTATTGTCTCCGAAGGTGTGTCTGGTGTCTGACACAGCACAACACTGACACATGTGATTATATTTAGTCTTTAAGTGATGAACTATAAAGACTAGAAAAGACCGTAAACCCTACCGTGTTGCGTGCTCCGAAAAGCTCTTGTATGTTTGCTTCTGTCGCAGCACGTGCAGATCACCACCCGGACAATACTCCATGACCAAGCAAGAGAGCTTATATGTATTAATATGAGAATAAAGTGTCGGAAGAAACGGATGATCCAACATTTGAAGGATCTCTCTTTCAGTTTGAACCCTAAATGTTCTCTTCCTGCTTGCTAAAAATTCATTGTCCATAACTTTCAGTGCAAAAAGGCAACTAGTACCGATTAATTCTGCAAGATAAACGGTTCCGATATCTCCACTACCAAGCTTCCTTATCAGTCTGAAATGCCTTAAATTTAAATTACCATGCTGCTGTTGAACCGCACGAATAGCTTCCCATCTAGAGTGTTTTGACATGTGCGGTCGTTGGCCGCTGCGGCTCGAACTGCTTAGATTACTCTCCTCACTGATGCTTGTGCTACTAGTACTATACTCACCAATGCTACTTTTTGAGCTATGAGAGAACTCGCCTTTTTCCTTCGATCTTGATTTCTCGTCAACTTTTGTAAGAAGAAACTTAGTTTTCTTATTGCAATTCAACCCGAAACCGCGTTTGCTATCTGAATCTCTATTAACATTAATCGAGTTAACTTCAATGCTATGATTTGAACTGCAGGGTGATAGTTTTTCATCGTTTTCTTTCACTTCGCGCTTAAGATCAGAATTTCCATTCTCCTTGTCGAATCTACTAGTAGAGCAGCTCGATGCGGAACATAGATCTTTCTTTACCTTTTTCTTCAAGAAGTTCATGTTATTGAATATCGGCTTTGCCAAACATGTACTAATACTCGACGGTTTGTCCATTGAACTATCATTGCTAGACCTCCATGGACAAGATGCACGAGGTAAATTTTCATCCTTATCCTTATCCGGCATCGAAGAACCGAGACAAGATTTACTCTCGGTAGCGAGATTCGTTCTAACCCCTAGCCCTTCCTCGGTTTCTATCGTTGGCTTGTCAGCTTCAACTTCAGGTGGAAGGGGAACAATCTGATCTCGGGACACGAACCTAGTTGTCGTTTCTTTTGAGCTTGATATCTCCGGCATGAGGGAGATTTCAACCAACTTTTTACCGGTGCCAACATCAGATACTCTCGAAGAGCCACATTGCTTCGATAGTCTCTTCAAAGCAGCCATTTCTGACGCTTGAGAGATACACAATCCTCTAAGCGCCTGCTTCAAACTCACTCGCTCCGCAATGCCAATTCCCGACGCCTGAGACGAACAAACTCTAATCGGTCTCTTAAGAGCACTCTTGTGCGACCGTGACATACTATGACCTCTAGGCGAACCTTTATTAATCTCAATAGCCTGGAAAAGACGATCGATATCATCCTCAATCGAGTACCTTTTCGCTAATCTATACGAACAACTACTCTCGGGTTTTTCATCGGTTTCGAACTCGGGTAATATCTCTTCCCTTGATTCCACTATCTCACATGTATAGGTAGATGAATTCATATCTGAGAATTAACAAAATAACTACCAACAACTTAGCTTTATCTCAATTCCAAAGATTCCAAAGAACATTACAAAATGAAGCATTCAAACCTGAAATTTCAATCCAAATGAAGATCCTAGAGTTAATATAATATAATATAATAGCAAATTTATAAAACACATAAACAAGAACTTTACAATTATCTTGCAAATATATCACAAAATAAAAAATAAAAAATAAAAAATAAAAAAATAAAACATTACCTGAAACAAAATCAAAAGCACTGTGAAGGAGAAGTGAAAGAGTGAAGAACACAACAAAGTAAGAGAAGAAGAATGGAAAATTCAAAAGAGTGTTCCTAGGGTTTGAAGTTTGAAAGGGTGTAAGAGATAGAGAGGTAGTGAATGAGGAGAGAGAAAATCACGAGAGAGAGAGAGATTAGATTACACCTAACCTACAAGTATAATCTTTATTTTTCATTATTGTAAAGTGAAGTGTTACAAAGACATTAACGTAACACATGACACATGATGTTGTGTTGAAGAGGCACACATAAAACGACAGGTAAAGACAGAAACAGAAGCTCTTATGTGTATGTCAACATGCATTTGTGCACCCACTTTTTTGGTTGAAATATGCAACTACATTAAATTATTTGATTAAATTTAATAAATAATATTAGTTTTTGTTGATAATAAAAATATGTGAGACAAATAATAATAACGACTAAAAATAAGTCTAGAACAAGTAAGAGTAGGAGGAAGATAAAATAACGAGAATATAGAAATTTTATTTATGCAATTCCATCAAATCGATATACTTAAATAATTATTTAAATTTTAAAAAACAAATATTATTGTTTAATCTAATATTTCTAAATCTCTTTAATTCTATATAAATCACACAAATTCTTTGTATTTAGAAGTGTTTGTCAATCCCCTTAAATATTTTTAAACATTTTTCGAATTTCAAGATTACAACCATATGAATTTCTACAATTTGCCTTTATAATTAAGATTAGCACTCTTTTTATATGTCTTTAAGTCTTAACCATAAAATCGATTGAGATACATATTTAAAATTGTTGAAACCCAACAGATTCATAATAGGACCAAATCATAACTCATTAGAAAATAGATATGTGAATTGAAACGACCAAGATACCGTGAACCACTCGAACCTAAACTGTTGCCTGAAGATCGCTGACTAGACTTATCGTCGTCATGCATGTCGCGTCCTCAGTTCCTATGTAATTGTGCACCTACTCCAACTAATTGTAGCCCTCATGGTTTTGACATCGTCAACCACCCCGTTGAACCACTCACTAATGTCTTCTGTCAACTTCCCGACTGCTTTTCCAATGTTTTGAATTTTGGAAATCTCGAAACATATTTTCATTATCTTCATCACTTAAGGATTTAAGGCATATTTCTACAATTTTTCATCTTGACTTCAAATTGATGGTGATGTCAATTTACCTCTCTATCACCTTATTACTCTCTTCAATTTAAATCTTTATTCAATAATATTGATCTAGTCCAAACCACATTGAAATCTTGATCTAGCCACTTGTACCAAACCACATATTTTTGCTTAGATAGTCTAGCAATTCCACAAATATGGTTCTTCGACTATCTTTGACTCCCTTTAGTTTTAACTGCCTCCTCAAAGGTCCTTATTTTTCAGTTTTGCAACCCTTTAGCGAGATTCAAAGCATAATAACCAAGGTCTTCATAACTGTATCCCAAAGATGATATGATATCCCTCCTTACCTTATCACAATTCAAATAATAATCATAAGTCACTTAAATGTTCCTCCACTAATACTAGTATCCATAATATGTACCTTCACCTCAAATTGAATCTTATTCACCATAGTTTCTAATATATTCTTCTCTAGATCTTTATTTTTCATCCCTTAACGGAACTCACTAAAAGTAATACATTTGCTTATGATGAACTTTGATCTCCCAAATTTCACTTTCTACAACTCATAATCATTTTCACATTTTAGATAGTCATTAAAGATACAATTCATAATCTTATTATCAAGTTAGAATATCTTGATTTGCGTAAACAGTACAATTTTAATGACCTTTAAAACATAGGAGTCTGTATGTTTCCTACTTCAAACCTTCATAGGTTTCTAAAAAAATCTATTCTTGTGAATGGAAATCAATTAATCAAGTAAGTTGCTTTGACATCACCCTTACTCCAAAAAATTTATGGCAACTCAGCTCCTAACACATTTCTATAAGCAATCATATGCATATTTATCTTGTGTTTCCTACAAAATTCATTAAAGTGCTCTAAAACAACCTCTAGACATCTACCATGTCTTGACCTCAAATTTCGTAGTTTATTATTGTCAAGAAAGTCTACAATATTTAATGATGAATGACCAATAAAAATGAAACCATCTAAAATATATAACCTATAAATTTTATACCTTTTAGCTATGATCATTCCACAATGCAAAATCTTCAACACTCTATGTTCAACTTTAGTGCAATAGGCTAGATCAACAAACATGTCTATGGATAGCAAATTTTGTCTGAGATTTGGAACATACCTCATATTATGTAGAAGGAACTCACGAATTATCAAACATGTTAAGTATGATTGTACAAACACCATGAATTTTCTAAATCTTATTGCACTAAGGTGAACTACTCTGCATTCTTCTAGCTTTAAAGTTGCAAGGTATTATTTTCTTAATCATATATGATAAGAACATCTTGAGTCCATGATCAAAATCTCTTCAATCTCCAAACTCGAGACCACTAGTACAACAACATTATAATAACTATCTATATCCGAGACAACAAAGATATGAACATAATTTTCATTGTCTTTCATTTTGTTACAATCTTTTACGAAGTGACTAATATTTTGACAAATAAAACATTTTGACCTTAATTTATCGAGCCTTCTAGAAAATAGTTATCCAAGTTTCCAAAAACAAACTATATTTTCTATTTTTCCAATCTCTCAAACTCTTTCTATATATGAACGACACCAACCCAAAATATTTAGAAGGGTTTCCAAATCCCTTTATATATCTCAAAAGGTTTCTCAAATCCCAAAATTATAATCCAAGAGATTTTTATCATTTGTCTCTCTAACTAGGATTATTACATTTTCTTTTTTTCTTCAAATCTTAACCATTAAAAAATATATATTTATAACTACTAGAACTCAATAGATCCCCAATAAACCAAAAAAAATGTCTTTAAAAACAAATCTGCAATTAAAATGACCAAGCTTGATATCCGTAAACCGCCTAAACCAGACTCAATGTCATCATGGTCAGAGGAGGGTTTTCAAACCATATATATATATATATATATATATATATATATATATATATATATATATATATATATATATATATATAAATAATGATGATGACTTTTTTTTGTGATTTTGGTGAACTAATAAAAGTCTATATAAGTCATAATGAAGTGCTTATTTAACAATTTATAATTAAAACCAACCAATAAATGTTGGTACATATAGTTGATAAGAATATGAATCTTATTTTCTAACTTATGTCTTTAATCCGGACAAAACTATAATTCACACTATGCTTCAACAATTGTATCAAATTTTCAATAGATGGTGATTACATTCAATGGAATTAAAATCATAATAATGAACTTGTTTCATGCACTAAATTATTCACGTGGCTTGCCATTGACAATACAACTACCAAATTGATGAGCTCCACAAATAAAGTGAAGCAATTTTAATTAAGCCCTTTGAAAGTTTATTAATGGAAAAAGCATAGGACATGTGATATAAAGATTCAAACTCACGAGAAATAAGTTAAATTTGTAATCCTTGTTTGGCATTTGTTGAATTTTGAAAGCTTGAAATTGATGTCATGATGCTAAATGCTTTTACTTGTGTGTGTAATAATGATGCATTGCAAGTGAATAAGACTAATGAAGGAAACAAGGCTTAAGAATACAAAGAACCTTTGCTTTTCAAAAAGGACAAACATACAATGAAAGTGCTAGGAAGAAGTTGCCATCATTCTTGGACATATATTATATTATATATTATGTTATGATGATCACTTCCTAATCAATGAGAGTAACTATAATATTTTATAAGAGAAAAGTTGTGTTTTAGTCTAATAAATTTATAATAGATTAATTTATTTGTGTATCAACATCAAGCAACAATTGTCGACAAGATGTAGTTAAAGTAAAGGTTTATTAGTGCATGATAGCTTGGCCATGGAAATATTAGAACATCCATTTTTTGAAAGATGTGTCAAGACAGTGTATATGTTAAGCATTCCATAAAATTAAAATCAAAATAGGACATATAGCTAAGACAGTGTGTTAAACCAATTTGCAAGCTTTGTTAAATTAGTTTAGGTAGATTTTGTTGATTTAGTTCATTTTTGTGAAGAGTATAGATGCTCTCTTTTGTGAGTGATATGTGTTTGTGTCACTTGTGTAGGACTGCTATATGATAAGTTATGGCATGATAGAACTGACGTACCACTTCAACCTTAATTTTCAACAGGTCTTAGAGAAAGAAGGAAAGGTTATAAGGAATGAAGGTATATGAAATTAGGGCAGAAGTGGGAACAATGTGAAAGATGGATTGCAAGTGAGCTGGAAATCAGAACAAAAACTCCACAAAAATTGTTGCAGATAGAATTGAGAGCGTTACTTGTTTGTTTGCGCATCAGACATGCCACAAGATGTGTTGTCTCTTGCAAGTTGGAATTGCCCTACCTAAAGCTTATTTGAAAAAAAAGAGAAGGAATATGCTGAATTTATTAGATCAAAACATTGAGTATTCACAAGTCCCATGATCGAATGACAAGACAAAAATCCTAAAAGTTAAAGGGTATAAAAGGAATCTCTTGGACAAAATGGAAAGACATTCAGAAGTTGAAAAGACTTGAGAAATTGCTAATAAAAACATCTTATTGAAGAAGAAAAAGTATAAACTAGAGTAAATAGTTTCTTTTGTTCTTCCTCCATTGAAGAAGAGCTAA